CTTTTATACACATTTCTCTATAACCTTACAGGAGCATTTTTGCTGTTTATGGTACACATTTGGAGTTTTAGGCCTGTTTTATTTTACAAAATCTTAAAACATTGGAGACCTGAATGTGGTGCATAGCAAGGACTGTAAGGCTCACAAGTCAGTACAGAACATTCAAATTTGGCTCTGTAAGGTTGTTCTACCTACCAACAGTAATCGCCATGCCAAATATGTCACCCCCTTTGATGCAGAAAAGCAAGCATTAGACCAAAAACTACAGCATTTGGGTGTTGACCATAGCTACACCCCCTTAATGCAATATTACTATTTCTCTCCCCTAGATCGAGTGACTCGTTGACGTGCTTGGTGAGAACTTACGAGTAACATCGAATATCGACAGCTTTGATGAAGAGTTGGTGGTGGTCACCTTGGCCTTGGGTGAGAATTTTCTTTTTAATGTAGGTGCTTTTTACGCTCCCATCAACGCGATTTAGATCATTTTTAAGAAGCAGGCTTCGATCCTGGATGTCTGAGCCATCTCAGGTAGAGAGGGACACAATTTACCAGCAGAAAGCTTGAGATTCTCGATAAAAATTCTTCCCAAACGGGAATCAAACTCAGGTCTTCTGCATGCGTTGCACCTAATACTTTCTACACCCTGCGAGTCAGATTCGTCATAGTCGGGGCCAGACAGATTTTTCTTCGTGAGTGGGGAAAAAGCTTCCAATAGGCACAATATGACCGATTCGACTTACGACCTTGAATAACAGTAGACGCGTTTGGTTTTGAAGGTCAGTGTCGAGTCTTGTTGAATTTGGTCATCCGGATTACCGGCAAATGGTTGAGTTAACCACATCCGTGAAGGGACGTTTGGCTGGCCCTGACTCAGCAAAAATCAATGAAGCGAATTTAAAAAAAATTATTATAGTAGAGGGTTTTACGGCATTCGCAACTGCATACATAAGGTCATAATAATATGAGCGCCAAGGGGTGGGGGTCAACAGAGAAGTCTTTACAGGGAATCAGACTTACTCTGCTCACCTTTCTAGCTTCAACAGCACAAGGTCTGCTTCGACTATCAAGGCACCAAGGAAATAGTAGGTCACTAGAGTGACAAACATACAAAAGAAGAAGAAGAAAAATGACAATAGTAAGGATTAGGGAAGAAAAAGCAGCAGTTCCCTGTTGTAGATCAGGCACAGTTATGAGCGTGACATGAATCAGCCCATTTACAATTCTACTGTGCTTGAACGAGAAATGCTCCCCCCCCCCCCTTTGGGAATGGCCTAAAGACGAAGCAGATTTGCCGTGGGCACTGGGCATTACCACAACATCACACGGACGTCGGTGCCGGGGCGGGTTTCACTAACCTTGGTTGGAGAAGCAGTTTCAAAACAAACCAAACCAAACAAAACAAAACAACAACAACAGCAGCAACAACAACAACAACAACAGAACAGGGCACAGTCTTATCGAGGTTATCGGCATGGTGGGTGTGCAGGCGAAATTTGTTGTAACTTGTTTCAGAGGCGCTAACTAGCTAAGAAAAAAAAAAAGTCCTGCTGAACTTTTCCGGTCTCGAGGAAATGCACGAGCGAGGACTCAGAATTTACAGGTCATAATATAAATGTTGTCCAATGCATCTTGTGTAAAGATCATTTTTATTTTAACTGTAATATACACTCACTAAGACTTTACTACGAGATTAAAATACTGTCGGAAAAAATCCTGACAATTTCAGACTTTCGGATTACCGGATTTATCCAGAAAATAGACAGCTCTGATTGTTTGTTTTTTCGATTATTCGATTATTCTGAGTAAGCCTACGTCGCAAATGTAAAATATAAGCGTTGGATATAAATGGGTCATTTCCGAAATGTTCTTAATAAAAAAAAATATTTTAAAAAACTCCATACATGTATTTTACCTCTTTGTCATACAAGGTCGGATACATCATCCCAATAAATGGTGTAATAATTCAAAGAATACAAATGCATAAAACATCGACGTGAAATTTGAGCTGAAGCAGTCTTTCGGAGTATCAATAACTCATTGACATATATGTGTCCTGGTCATTCGACAATTCTTAACTTGTTTGTTTGAGTGAGTAAAGAGAAGCACATCGACATAATAATGGTCATTTAGTGCTGGAAAAATAATAAAACAAGCAGGCAGAAACAACATGGGGAAAGTAAAAAAAAAAGTAGGACCTACCCGTGGCGCCCTCCAACCACCCGCACGCTTAACTTAAAGACTTCGTCGTTCATATATGGATTTTAAAATTCTGTCTTCTTTTTTTTTCTCTCTGAAACTTAAAAGACAGATCAACAGCATGCATACTTAAATACTATGAAGCATACACATTTGTCTTTTGTTTTTGTATTTTGTTTGTTTGTTTGTTTGATTGATTGGTTGATGGTCGGTTAGTTGGCTGGTTGGTGGTTGGTTGATTGGTCCTTCGGCATGAACCACAACATGGCCTTTGTTATACTGCTGCTCTGACATACGTGTCCACCCCGTCCTTTATAAAGAGTTCAACAGTTTTTGTCCTCTCCTCTCCTGTAATAAAGGCTTCGTGGGAGATGACCCAGCCACTGCTCGACACCATCGATATTATATCTATTCTGTGTTCCTCACTAACAGAAAGCTAGCCAGGCGCCGCCTTATCGAAGATTTCTGGGTTTGCGGAACTTTGCTTTTAAGAGACGCTACAACTCCCCCCCCCCCCTCGCAAAAAACCCACAAAAAACAAACAAACAAAAAACCCAAAAACAATAACAGCAACAACAACCCCCCCCCCCCAAAAAAAAAAAAAAAAAAAAAAAAAAAAAAAAAAAACAACCCAAACCAGTATGGTCTCATCTTCGCCACGAGTGGCAGTGGGTCTTAGAATATTTGATTTGCCCATTGCAGAAATGTGGGTTTTTATAGAACAATGCTTCGAGTCAAGTAGACAGATGATAAATAAATAATGAAAGGGTCCTCAAAGAAACTGATACACATCGGAAGAACAAAATATTTGCACAAATGGCACCTTTTTAAGAGAAACATCTCTGAAGACACGAGTGTCACCATTTGTGCTATCACGAATAAAGTATGTATTCCAACTCACTCTTCATAGTCATAGACATAGCAACAGAACTAATGAATCGACAGCAAAGAATCCAGAACCAAGCTGTGAGAGTTCTCAAAAGGCCGTGAAAAGAACACACAACACCCTTGCTTTTACAGCTACATTGGCTCCCTGTTAAAACTTAAAGCCTGTATTTATTACAAAGTTGCAGTACTGTGCTGCAAGTGTTTAAAAGATCTGGCACCACAAAATCTTTCTAATTTACTACAGGAGTATAAACCATCACGAAATTTACGGTCCATTAATAAAAAACAAGTTAACACTGTGCCTTGCAATTTATTGAAATGTATTTATATATTTATTTATTTAAGTTAATTTAATTTAATTTTTTTTTTGGGGGGGGGGGGGGGGGGGGAAACTGGAGGTAGGGCTTTTTCGACACCTGCTCTGTGTCTCTTAAATAAACTAACAGTGTTGATAGGGCCGTAAATCCACACACTTCACTTGCAATAAAGATCTACGCCAGCACAGGGACTTGTTTTGCTTTCATACGCGCTCAACAAAGAACACTGTTTATTTTGGTTTTTTAGTATAGGTGTCTTTTTAAGCCCCAATCAACAACAAAATTTAAATAACTTATAATATAAGGCGAGCGATGACGCTGCCTTTTAGGGCCAATCCTGGATGAGAGAGATACAACAGATCTCATCATAAAGGTCGAGATACTTGATAAAACTTCTCACAACACGGGAATTGAACTTGGGTCTTATACAGGTGACGGCGAAGCGCTAAACCGTTACAGCACAGTACCCAGTGCAAGTCATTAAAGTGATAATACAATGTAACCCAGAAAAAAAAGATACAAGAGAATGACTAGCTTAATTTTAGTCTTAGTAAGAGGGTTTTTTGTTTTGTTTTGTTTTAGTTTCACGGCACTTGCAACACAATAAGGTCATATAAGTGCAGAAGATTAGAGGTGTTACAAGAGAGTAACAAACACAAAAAAGGAGTGATTAGGACGACAGATGTTTGATAGGAAAGAGGGAGCAGACCACACCAGAGCACCCGCCAACCATCCACAATAAGAGTTTTACGACGGCACTTCCAACATAAATAGGTGATGTAAGTGCCGAAGTAGGTTTTAAAAAAATTTTTAATAAAGATTTTACGGCGCTCACTGCCTAAGGTCATATGAGCGCCAAGGGGTGGATGTCAACAGAGAAGTCCTTTCTAATAGAGGGAATCAGACTTACTTTGCTCACCTCTCAAGCTTCAACAGCAGAAAGTCTGCTTCGACTTTCAACACACAAGCAGGTCCGGTAAGTGTGGAAGATTAAGTGTTACAAGACAGCAGCATTCGAAGAGGAGAAGGAGAGAGATAAGGACGTGAGATATTTGAGTGGAAAGGAGCAGACCACACCAGAGCAACCGCCAGTCACCCACTAGCACATTTCACGGTACTTGCAACACAATAAGTCATATAAGTGCTGAAGATTAGAAGTGATATAAGAAAGAGACAAGCATTCAAAGAAGAGGAAGAGAAGGAAGAGAAATAAAGACGATAGACATTTGTTCGGAAAGGAGCAAACCACACCAGAGCCCCCGCCAACCACTCACTAGTTAGTCACACCGCACTTGCAAAACAAATAGTTGAAAAACACCATATAAGTGCTGAAGACTGGATGTGTTATTAAAGAGTAACATACAGAAACGGAACAGAAGGAAGGGCGATAGATGTTTGATAGGAAAGAAGGAGCAAGAGTAAAGAAACAGTGTTTCACATCCTTTCATGGTTGAGAAGAGAGCACAATCCACATAATAGTGGCCACATTTTGCACTGGAAAAGAGAATTTTTTAAAAACCCTATCCGTACGTCGTGTGTAACTATTGTATCCATACCACGTGGGGAACTCTGTCCCACCACTTTCCAAAGAGGAAATTTACTCGTTAATCCGATCCGTATGCTGTGCATAGCCGTCTGTCAACATTATTTTTTGAGAAATACTGAAAGTTTCAAAGAGATCTTCGCACAAGAAGTATTCTAAAATGGGAAGAATACAACCCCAGGGGTACAAAACAACCCCAGGGTGTGTGGATAGGGTTAAATGAGTAAAGAAGTAGGACCATAGTGGTGTCCTCCAATCACCCGCGTCGTTCTTTAAACTTACTTTACTTTTTTCTTCCGCTTGTACCAGGGGGTGTCGCGGGGAGACACAGGCGTCTGTCTGCAGCAAGGCGAGTGGCCTGTAGGAGGGACATCCCGTGAGCTCTGAGGGTGTCTGCCACAGATTCACTCCATCGTCGCCTTGGTCTTCCTCTGGCTCTCCATCCAGAATATTTAGTGTTGTATTATGCTCTCAGAGCTGGATGGCAGTGGACATTAATATTGCTCAAGAAAATATGAGGAGACACAAACAGACTTTAAACTTACAGCTGCACAAAACAGTGCAGTCAGCTGGTCTGTGTATAGGCCAACCTGTTTCAATATGACCATGCAATGTTGCGGAGAAGTGAGGTCATCTTAGACAGTGTCATTATAATATTTTGTGAGACTTCGTGGCGAGATCAGGCTCTCCTCAAAACAATGAAATCCGAGAAATCGGCATTTTTCGGCGGACTCCCCCCTCCCAGTTGTTTTTTGTTTGTTTGGTTTTTTAAAAGCTGAACACCTTGCATATCCATTCAAAAACACTTTTATTTGTAGATTTTATTGAAAACGTTGATAAAAGGCACAAAGAATGCTAATTTGCAGTTTCCAAGGACTCTAAATCTATGGAAGAGGAAGTCAACATTTTCTCGCTAATTTTACTTTTGAAACCAGGCAACCCCACCTCCTTCAATCGCCATTATCTCGACTTCTATTCAAGATAAATAGATACTTCTTTCATCGAAAGCTAGGCAAATGAATAACCTTTAAGCTGATACCAATAATTCCATTTGGCCAAAAATTGATGAGCGCCCGATTCCACCGCATCATGACACACAGAGAGAAAAAAAAACAACAAACGCATGTACAGGGGAGGACGCTGTGGGAGGTAGTTGTTTGAACAGGTGGCTGTAAGAGCAATTTCCACAGTATTTTGTTCAAGTTCAATAGTGCTATGGTCAGTCTGGTCACTTGGCTGCCATGATAGGAAATAATTTCCTCAGCATCATTGCTATTGTAATGAAAGGGAGGTAAAAGACAGACTACGTTTTTAGTTTTACGCCACTTGAAACAAAAAAAGTTCATAGAAATGCCGAAGATTATAGCTGTTACTAGAAAGTAACATTTAAGGAAATAAATGTTTGATAAGGACGAAGGAGCAAACGACACAAGAGCACCCGCCAAATATCCACGGACAGACAAAAGTCAACTCCAAAAAACACCATTACAAAGTTGTCATTTTGTTTTATTTTTTTTTTTCTCCAACAATTCATGGTCACCTTTATTTTGTATCCTTCACTCCTGTAGTTGCTTTGACTTTGGGATGTTGCTACAGATGAATAATGCCAAAAATGAGCACAACACAGAACGGAGACACACCACAGCTATGTACAAGCTGACAGCAACACGCCCACTTACCCACCACCGACCACGCACACATGATACACTCACACGTACAAACACACACACTGATAACCACGCGAGTCTTATCTCAAACCCCACACTTCAAACAAAGAGAACAACAACCCACATAAAACACAGCATCATCATAATATTCATATCAAATTCAACATATACATGTAAGAGCTGGAAAAATATTCTCCAATTCATTTAATTTAAGCAGTTCCAAAAAGTATTTAACCCCAAAACAGGTTGACACTTTCCTGATTGATATTCACGTCAACCCAAAATATTCACATACCAAAACAACTTTTTTGTTGTTTCGTATAAAATCGTAGTGTGAGAAACACCCTGAAGTCATGGCCTTATTAAAAGAATTAAATACACCCCCAGCACAGCCCCCCCCCCTCCCCCCGAACGTTATGGCACACCAGTTCTTCCATCACTTCCACAAACACTGTGGAACTAATCAAACTTGGTCCAGAAGAAGGAAAAAAACAAACCCCCAAATCTCCTAATCCTATCCTGTAACAGCTTACGCTCTTAGAATGACAGTTTTTAACTCGCATAGTTTTGAGTAGAGCTAAAAAAATTGTTTACACTTTATATGTGAGTGTACAACAGAACTGAAGGAAAAAAAAAATACAGGCCAGATTTGTCTCAAATGCTTGAATGATAACGCGCCATCATATTTATCAAATCTGTGGAGACTAAATTCCAACTCGAAGTTTGAGGTCATCAGCTGACAAAAAGAAATATCTTTTAACATCTAAAAACTTAAATCAATGGATGAAAGGGCACTTAAATTTGAATATCAAGGCCCCAAGACCTGGAAAGCTTTGTCAACTATTTTAAGAGAGATCAAATCCTCTGACTCATTCAAATGTCAGCTGAAGTCCTTTCTGATTTTAAATTAATAAGATAAATTTTTGTAGTGATTTCCTGTCAGAACACATTTTATGTTACTGTTGTACATTGTACTGTATTGTAAAGCACTCAGAATCTGTGTCCTTTGATCAGGGTTGAGCGCTATACAAATGTCATTTATAATAAATTAATATTATCAAGTCAAGCCTTCAACACTGTGCAAGGATCCTGTGCCAGTAATGTGTAGTGTGTAACTGAGTTTTTACCAAAACTAGAGTTATAATCCTGTCATTCTAGGGACGCGAGCTGCTAAAGTCAAGCTGTAAAACACAGTAATTATTAGCATATCCAATAAAAATCCAATGCTACAACCATCAACCAACTTATCGATTTTCAAAATCTGTTTCATTACGGACACGTGGACACCTTCGATCTTCCAAAGGCCCCTAGTTTTATTCTTTCTTTCGTTAAAAGGAGATATTTTTACGCACACCCCCCTCCCCCCCCCAATTCACACAATTTAGATAATTTAGGAGGCGGGCTTTGACACTGGATGTCAAAGCCAAAATGCTGACAGGGATACAATGTCCTACAGAGACACAGGAGAGATACTCGATAAAAATTCTCTCCACATGGGAATCAAACTCAGGTCCTCTGCATGTGATGGTGAAGTGCCCAACCATTACACCACCAAAGACACTGGTCCTCAGGCCCCTGTTCGTATTTTAGTTCAATACAAATACAAAAGGCCGGACCCAACAAAGTGTCTCAAAAATATTTTGAAGAAGCCAACAACAGTGTACATGGGAATAGAAGGTTATACATTCAAACATGGCAAAATAAAATTTTTGTCATCTCGAATCCACAAACATTGTATGAATAATTATTGATTAGAATGGCCTGAATCCTTACATATGCACGCAGGTATAGGTAGGTCCCCAATTTTCCACATGAGAAGGGCAATTCATACGAGTCTAAAAAGTTTCATACGTCGTGACAAGAATTTCCGTGTCCTCATCTTGACAAAGGACTCTATTGACTTAAAAATTGCCATATATATACTGTACAGCAGAAACAAACCCCATGCCTTATGTTAAGAACATTTTGGACCAACCTGTGCTTGCAGTAAACATGAAAGGATTGATGATTGCTTTATGATAACCGCAACGGTTTCCACTCCAGCTTTCTTCAGCCCAGATCTCAACTGCATCACTGCAAAACCCACAATCTTTTTTTTCCCCAAGAAAACAAAAAGCCTGTGGTTGAGATTGCACCCTCTGGTGAGTGGACAACACACGTCACAACACTGGAGACACACACACACACACACACATGCACAACAACAAACACACAAGCACATACTTGTGCTGGAGATGGATATGTACGGGCCTCATCGCGAAGCCACACTCCCGTTGCCCACAACATCTGATCAGTTTTCTTACAACACTGGCCACAACGTAACCCTTCAGAACATCGTGAAATGATCCTACGCAGGTGTCGACGGAGTCCTGTCCATCAAAACATGGCCCCCACACTACAGCTGATAGAAACGCTCATAATACAAACTTGAAGAGATCCCCGACCCACAGCACAAGAATGTTTTCCACACCCTGATGAGACTGTATGCAATACACAGTCGAACCTGCCTCAGGCCGAGTCGCGGTGAGAACGAAAAAAATTGTTTCAACCCAGCACAAAGAATAGAAGTGCCTAGAGTAAAACTCCCACCAATAAAAAACCGGCAAATTCTTTATGTATTAGACCACACAGGGCAAATTCTACATATAATTTCCCCCCACTGTTTCTGGACTATCTGTAACAATTTCAAACTTTAAAAAAAAAAAAGGTTTCCATATCAAAGGGCATATTTCTTTCCCTTGGCTGCACAAGACTAACTCGGCTATAAGAACGTCTGGAGATTTTACCTTGACAGGTTCGACCGCCTATTACTTAGAGGGACTGTAAATAAATACAAAAAAGATGTCACTGTATATAAATAAAAATGATTTGACTTAGACATAGCAAACACACCTTTGTCCTCACTCACTGTCTTCAACAGATCAGCAAATAACCACCATAAAAAAAAATTTTTTAAAAAAGCATTAACAACAACGCAAACAAATTTATGAAATAAACAGTTCTTCAGTCAAAAGTCACGTTTCTTAACTTATTCTTGCTGTGGACCAGCACATGTAATATCATGTTAAACATCCAACAATTTCCTTATGAATAGAATTTGAACACAGAAATTTTTTTTTTTAAAAAGGAACAACCTTAGAAAAAAACTTTCTTAGAGACAAGGTCAACTTAATATTTTCATACTGAAACCAAACCAAAATCGGCAGGACCCCTGAATTTTCTTCGGTTAAGAGAGGTTGTGCAAACAGAAGAAAAATAAATAAATGGGGATTTCATTTTCTTGAACTTTTCCACTGTTTTCGGATTAACCATATTTGGTATAAGTGGACTACACTGTACTTGTGAACCACACAAACCAATATAGGCAGACGACCCTCTACACAACATATTGTACAATTTAAACGGCTCCTGTGATAATGCAACACGTAAAAATTATCTGCAAAATTGGGTGAGAAAAAAACGTCAACTGACACCGAACAGGAAAAGCCGGTGTTAGACTAGGTTAGTCTGCCTCTCATGAAATGTGCTACATGGCAATACTTTCTTGACAACTTCAATCCTACAACATTCTATAAAAAAGACCAACAACATAAGTTTAAAACAAAAACATGCAAAGAGTTCAGACCTTTTGTTTTTTTAAAACCAAACCTAAAGAAAAGCTTATTCAAACAGACATTTTTACAAGAGAAAAGGAAATCTTTCAGCGTCTTACTTGACGATCAGCACACACTGGGTCATCAAGTACAGTTTCATACAGAGGATAGCGATACAAAAAACCCCCCCCAAAAAAACCAACACCCCCCAAATTTAGACCATATAAAGGAAAAAAATCAATCTAAGTGAATGATCATGGCCAACAAGTAACAGTTAACTGCATGCCACACAACCCCAGAGCTAAAAAAAAACCTCTGGTCAGGTCCAAAGCCTGCCGCCCTTAGTGGGGATTACATAACAGGCATATTAAGATGCCATGTGCACCTTCAACTCTTTGATTACAGACACAAATTCTTTTTTTATCTTTGTTCCACACTTCTGACAATGAGTTAAGTACCATTACTGTAGCCAGAGACAACATAAGAGAACAAAACCTTAGCTATAGACAGAACAAGGAAACACCAGACAGTCCTCCTTGTACACTGTATTTAGCAAAAAGTTCCCTGTCAATACTGTGCTTAGTTTTACGTCACATGGCTAACCTTTCTGCATCCCAGCCTCATAACACCTTACACATTGATGAACTGCACATAGCACAATGCTGCTTCTGCATTTTTTGTACAGTGTAATGAAACATTAGAGCACGGATCCTTAAAGGCGTAGCTGGAAATAAGAGACTAGTATTAACAGCCCTCATTAATTATTTTTTTTTAAATATAAAAAAATCAGCCAAAGACTTCCAAAAACCTTCATTTTTGTCAGGGCAAGGCTTAATAATAGGAGCAGCCCCAACAGAAACACATGAATGAGACACGTCTTGAACGCAAAAATACTCGGATGATATCCTTTGTGATTGTCAAATCAGACTCGAGTTCCACAAGTTTTAAGGTCTCCACCGACTGAAACTTCCCTTTCACAGATCTGATGACGGAAAGCACATGATATGCTGTGTTCATGCTCAACATCAAAATAAGAAATAAGCTTGTGAAACCATATATTTTAAATCCATTACCTACGATTTTCTGCATGTTTTTTTAAAATCAAAAAGTGTCACATAATGTCTACACAAAATTTACACTAAATAAAGTTTTCATATTTTCCTTCTTTAGTTCACATTTCCAAAAATGCAGAGCACTCCATCTCATTCTATCTTTCACATCATTAAAGCAGTCAAAACTTATCCACCAAACCAACATGTTCTTTTATGAAAAGATTGCCCCTACTGGTCCCTGGTTGACTACTGGTGTCTGTATGACTGTCTTCCTCCGACACGGGTACCACACAGATCCATCAAAAGTTCCACATATCTCGGAATCCTTTCACAAGAACCTTGTTCACATCAATTAACCATGGGGCACCATCCGCCACAGCACAGGAACATCCAACATCTCCAGGAAAAGTAGCACTCGTTCAGTCATTCTGCCTATCACTTGGAAGAGGGAGCATCAAGGTCTATGGCCTCCTCTGGCTTGTTACTCAGTCTCTGGTTCCCCATGGCCCCCATCAAATTCCCCATCATGGCAGAGTTCATCATGCCTGAGCCCCCGGCACCCTGGAAAAGATGGCAGAATATTTTGATATAGACTGACGAACAGGCTGGTACTTTAAATATCAGGGATATCACAGGGATTCTGTAAAAACACCTGAACATTTTCACAAAAAGACAGTTATTAGATATAACCGATATGGGGTTATACGGAAAACAATGCGTAGAATAATAACTGCTGTTCTAGAGAAAATAACTTTAAAAAATGGG